AAGTGCCTTTTAAATGATAATTATCATTGGCCTGTGTAATAGTAACAGCATTTAAACCTAATATCTGATTTAATCTACAACAAGCAATAAAAGTGTCGCTAGAAGTGTTCAGTAATGAGAATAATAATACCTCTGAATTTGATTGTGCTTTGGTTGTCTGTGCTTATTTTCTGCTTCTTTGAGTGTGACCGGTTAAGACTCTGAGAAAGAGGATCTAGCTCTACCGAACCCAACCACCTCACCTATTCAAAAATCAAAGAACCCTGAGGTATAAATATAGTACAAGAGAGAAGATCATAATTAAGCAGAAACCAACAGGAGTACAATTAAAAAGTGGCGTTACAAGAGGAGCTGGCTGAGAGGAGCGTTACGCTACTTTCCGTTTCTTTTCAAGCCAGATTACTTCTGTCAGCATAACTGCAGGCACCCAGTCAGTATGTTTCCTGTTTAAGTTTCAATTATTCTTCCAGCCCATTCAGGGCCCTGGCCTCTTATTCAGCGCCGTAACAATTTCGCACAGACGGTAGGACTCCTCGGACGAGTGATCAACACGTCGCAAGGCCGCTACCTAAACACAGGACAGTATAAACACAGAATAGACGAGTACACACACCAAACATCCATACCTTGAGTGAGATTCGAACCCACGATCCCAGAGTCCAAGTGTGCAAAGACGGTTCATGTCTCAGATCGCTCGGCTACTGTAACCGGTATGTTTACTAGTGTAACCGTCCACTCCGTTGGGCCCTTTACGTTGGTGCCACCTTTCTCCTCTTACCGTCGTTCTGGCCTCTTGGTTGCTGGTTGTAGCTGCTCCTCTAGCCGTTCCCTCTCACCTGTTGGTACTCCGAGTTTGCAGGTTGCTGCTGCGTCCTTCTTATCCAGTTCTGCTTCCCTTTTTTGTTGTTGTTGTGGATAATTGTTTGTGGGATATGGGTTACTTGAATGCTGGGCGCCAGTAAGCTTACTGTAAAGGCTTACATTTTAGGAAAAAGGGGGGATGAACCGGAAACTACAGGTGACAGGTACCGCATTCTCACTAGAGCGATGAGATTCTGTCTCAGGGTGAATACGGGCCTCGCGTCAGCGGGAAAGTTAAGAGTGTTTATAGCTAGGCACTACCACACACTGTTTAATGAGCAGTTCTTGATGTACATGTAACAGCACTTGTCCTTAATCCCTTAAACCAACTTGAAATCACTCAAATATTAGCGACCGGATCCCTGGCTAGTTATTTAGTGACTGCTTCTTTTAGCACAACACATAGCAATAACACTTTCACTTAAACTCTTAAGCCAAAGTAAGATTCACATTAAATTTTGCAGTTATTCAGTGACGCTAATTTTTCGACTGTACACTTGGAGGGTTGTTCAGAGACTCTCCTCGCAGACTGACCCTGCTTTGAAGCAAGAAATCTTCACGGTTTCAACTCCGCCTCCAAGTTACTACCCTAATTTCTGCTGATTGGAACAATTCGAATTTGGGGAGTTAACCATAATTCTCACTGCTCCAATCACCTAGCTTTAATTTGGGACTTTAGACCTTAAAGTCCTAACGTCGTTTATGAGAGCTGCTTGAAAAATTATACCAGTAGCGTGGGTTGCTGGCCTTCCCACTTTTGACTTACGGGGTTCGAAACCTGTCAAGTGTAACTTTACCAAAGGATCCCGCCGGTCAACTTTCGAACTGAATTTCCAGGAAAACTCTGCGGGGTGCTTCCTGCCTGGTCTTTGTAGCAGTGAAGCAGGCCCTATTCTTGAAACCAAGAATCGGGCTAAGTCACCCTTGACTGTTCCTTGCTACTTCTTATGCTTAATTACTATAAAAGGAATACTAATTACAAATAAAGCTGGTGGTGTCAGTGGTACGGCTACACTAGTAGGTCTCTTTCATTATAATTCGGATATTTCAAAATATTTTTTCAATGCATGAAGCATTCACTATGCCGATAATTGAAACGGGGGTTGAGAAAAACAAAATAAGGGCAGTGTTCAGAAAATGCAAAATGTTCTCTCCAAAAATTATGTACAAAAATAGATGACTAACTTGTATAATAATTAATTTAATATTTCAGCTAGCATATACGTGTAGGTTTAAATGAAAATTGGTGTTCTGCACGAACTTCTATCGTGTTATGCTGCATTTTGTGTAGATGTGCATGGAAATGTTAGAAGCTGTTTGAATGGCCTGTGTTATATCTAAACGCACGAGTAAGCCACTGAACTGATTCGGATTGGCGTTACTTTCGTTGCGTAAAGTTACGGCGCTTTAATGTCTAAAATAGTAAAATGGCTTTCTGTGGTATTACGAAAAAAGGAAATGAGTCAAAGCCCGTAGCTTCGTGCTGCAGGCAAATTGCTGCGGAAAGCAGTGTTGAAAGCGTTGCTCTCAGGCGAATATGTGCTTATCGCGACTCAGTCGCGCTTGTGTAAATGAGCTGCAGAATGCGGTGTCGCATGAGAAAACGGGTCATGCGTACCAGGAATTTGTTTAACCCCAAACA